TTTTTTTTTTTTTTTTTCTTGAGAGCGGGTGTTGTAACAGTTTGGGAGGACCACATCAGCTGGGTTATGGTTAGGCAATAAATGCCAGAAGCATGCAATGAGCATAAAACAAATCCAAGTGAGGGGGGAGAAGTCTTGATGTCGCATTGCAATTGCAAATGAAACTACCCTGGCTTGGAACCAAATGTGACTTTTTGGGATGATTAATGTTCACAGTCAGAAGCAAATGCCGCGCTTCGAAGTAAGATGCTGGGCCAAGGCATAATAAATCAGCCCCACCTTGCTATCCAGCATGCGTCTCTCTCAGCATTCCCAGAAGCAAACAGAGCAGGGTTTGGGAATGGCAGGCTGAGCTGGGATTTGGAGCCAGCCAAGACACACAGTGCAGGGGAAGAAAGAGGAAGGAGAAATGGGGCCGTTTTGCAATGTTCCAGGGCATGACAGAGCAGAAAAGCCAAGCACAAGAGGAGACGAGGGCACAGCTGTATGTTTTGGGAAAGGCTGGGGCAGAGGAGCAGGACCCGCTGAGAGCCTGTAATGCTGTCAGTCAGCTACAGGCTGGGAAGTCATGTGTGAGCAGAGGGAAAAGCAGGAGCTGCTGCAGAGCCAGCACATGCTAGAGACCCAGAAACTGAAGCCAGGCTGTTAGAACAGGTCTGAGCAGTCCCTGGAGGTAACTGCTTGCTCCCTTACTCCGTTCAGCTCCCAAACCAACTCCTGTAGGATTCACAGGGGAAATCTCAAGGGCAAAAAAAAAAAAAAAAAGACAAAATGGGGAAACAAGCCTGCTGCAGGTATGCGAAGGGGGCAACACTTGCTCCTGCAGCTGCACCCAAAGTCCAGGAGCTTCTAGCCATAGCAACATTGGCACCTGGTGGCGAGTACAGGGAGGTTATAGCTACCTAAGTGCAGACCAGGCTGCTGACCACCCCACCCAAGGGAGACCGCCAGATTTCCCCAAGTGCCTCATCAGTACTGCCTCCTGCAGAGACCCCCCAAGTCTCCCCAAATGACAATCCCCCATCCTGCACCCAGAAAGCAACCTCAGGAAACAAGCCCTTGATGTGGTTTAAAAACCAAAGCAATGCCCCATCCCACTGTAGTCCCAACCCAAGGCACCATTTGGTCCCTAGAGCAGAACCCTGCCTGCTGCTTCCTCCAACTGGGAACAGGCGGGCTGGGCAACAAAGACCGGAGTGCGCTGGGGCCAGGCCTGGCACCAAGGCTGGAAAAAGGAGGGAGAGGGAAATCACTGCACATACAGGCCCCTTTTCCTGCCCCCTCCTCAACCAGCCTCTCCGGAACTGTGCCAGAGAAGAGGAGACAGCAGCACTGCTGGGATCGTTTTTGCTACCTGCTACCCCAACTACCTGTTCAGACCCAGTTCCCTGATCTGCTCTCATCTTACACAGGGACAGGGAGGGGGCTCCAGGCAGGCTCCTCCTCAGCATCCTGGCTCTGCAGCTGGTGGGAAGCCCCATGACGGTGGCGCACCAGACAGGCAAAGCAAGCAGCTGTGGCCCAGCGCTTGGCTCCTCAGCTTCCTGCTTTGGGAGGGGTCAGGACAACTCTGGCACATGAGGGAGGCTACAATCCAACAGACCAAGACAGTGCAAGATAAACTAGAGATTCCAGGTCTGATCAGCGATCCAGCTCTGGCAGCTGGTGGCAAGGTGCACACCCACAGATAGGGAAATAGTTGTAAAAGCCTGTAGAAGGCCAACGTACAATGTCCTTGGAAGGCTGATCCTACCACCCAGCCCAGGCAGAACCCAACAAGTGTGGAGACACTTCCATGGGGCGTGGAGGAGGGATACAAAAGGGAGGCTCTTCACCCTCTTCTGGTTATTAGGCAGGGCTGGGTGAATCATTTTTCACACTGAAATCCACCCTGCCAGGAAGCACCATTCTGAAAGCCTCCGTGAGAAGATGCCATTGCAATGACAGCTGTCGAATCCGGAGACTCTGAAAACACCACGGGATTTGAAACACCCAATGGCTTAGATGCAAAGCATCAGAATCTGTTGTTGCAGCATCTCTAGCATGAAAACACCTTCTTTTTTCTTTTTTTTGGGGGGTGGAGGGAGGAGTTAGGTGGGCAGTGGCTTTCTCCCACAGTATTCGACCTCCTGTCCCAGTTCCCAATGAAAACCTGGTTTGAAATGTCAGGATTTCCCCCAGGACCAACAAGAAACCAACTGGATCCATTTGCTCTGCTAACAGACTGCTTGGGTGGTGAACCCAGCCAGGCAGGGCCCTACCCACGGGAGCTCTCGGCCACAGCCGAGGGCACCAGCAGAAGCCATGGGGTGGGGATGCTGTCACCTGGGAGCTGGGGTGAGGGCCTTAGTGGCAACAGAGAGCACCCAAGCAGGAGGAACGCAAGGGAAGGATGAGACCTCTGCCTTGGGAAGAGAACCGCAGGAGGGGCCAGCCCTGGGGGCTGGGATCTGTGGGGTGAGGAGTAGTTTGCAACAGTTCTTCCGTGCCCCTGGCCATGCAGACTGGGCGTCCTTTCTTCCTTGCCTTTGCTGCTCCACCAGGTAAACCCGAGACTCCCTTTGCTCCTCGCCCACCAGGGGACAGCAGGGAGGCAGGGAAATGATTCTGGTTCAGCCTTCCGCACCTGAGGATGGAGGAAAACCCACGCATGGGATTTCTCTCCCCTGAGCAGCCTAACCTTGGGCGTAACTAGGCAACAGTCCCAGCAGCAGGCCTGGGAACGAGCAAGCTCCATCATTTTTATTTTCCTCTGAGGTCAGCAGCTCTGCTGGGAGCTCAGGGAGGGAGGGGACGAAAGATGATCCACCAAACCCTTTCCACTCTCCTTCCCGGCAAGGACAGGCAGAAGTTTGCCCCTGCTTCAACAACAAGAACCAAAAACACAGGAAGCAAATGCACGCAAGAAGCACGGGCCAGGTGACAGCTCTCTGGAAACCAGGCCTGGGGCACTGGGGGGAAGCCTTGCTTGGCCAACAGGATCAGGCCCAAGATCTCACAGTTGATTTAATGAAGAGAATTCCCCCTGAAATCGGAGGATTAAGTAGTTCCCCTGGATCACCAGGTCTTCAGTCACTCAGTAATTATGGCTCACTCCTAAATGGCAGGTAGTCAGTGGCCTAGCACTAAAAGCAGCTTGCTGGGTCTACACCCTAGCAGCCAGGACTCTGGCAGAAGTCAGATCTCCGTGCGGAGACTGGGAAGTAGCTTGATGGACTGCAATACTACAAAGAAGCAACCAAGAACTGACCCACTTCTGACAGGCGTGGAGAGGGGAGAACACCAGCAAGGGCAGTGCAAAGGCCATCAAACACACAATGCCGAGGCAGTGAGAGAGCAAGCCTGTTCACCAAACCTTCCCACTGCAGTGACCTTCTTTAAGTAGCTCCTTGTGATGTTTTCAGACCAAAACCTGATTCAAGGGGCCATACTTTTAAATGCATCCCACCAACATCAGGCCCTTGAGCTCGGAGCTGGCGGGCAAGGAAGACTCAGCTAGAAACAAGTGAAACCAACCAACCTAGTTTAGTTGTTGGAGCCATGCAAAGAGCAAGCAATGCACAAGCTGCCATGTTAGACACGCAGGCAACAAGAAACACGGCTGTCCATATAGGGGGCCATTAACACGGTAGCAGGAGGCTCAGTGGGAAGCCATGGCACATGGCAGGGCTCACAACCATTACGTGTGGTACCATGAAAACGTTCCAGACAAACCCCACCCCAGAGAGCTGAACAGACCAGGATGGGAACGCCAAGGAGAGACTCAAGGATTTGAACAGGGGCAGGGCAGGAGGCATCCTCCCTCATTCCTGGCCTGCCCCTGTTCAAATCCTTGAGTCTCTCCTTGAGGAGAGAAAAACCACACGATAATTAAGCAGCACAAGGAGGGCTGAGGAAAGCCAGGGCACGCCTTAAGTGGATGCTAAAGGATCCTGGCAAAGTGCTCTGAAAATGAAATGCACCTAGGTGCTGGAACTCACAATTATGACTCACTTGGGAGGAGTATGAGCTGACTAGGTCACTGCTCAGGATCCTATGGTATAATCGTGGCCATACAATAACACGCCTCCTTACTGTCGATCCCCTTCTAACCCATCCCCTTCCAAGACCACCAAACCCTCTTGAGGACTCCTCCACTGGCCCCCATGTTTTCCTGGATCTGTTCAGTCTCCCTCGCACTCCAAACCAGTCCATTTCTAAAGCACTAAGGGACGTTGCACAGGGCAACTTGAGTTTCTCCTCTTCAAACCACCAGGGTGTTTGTTACGTCAATGCATGAGATAGGCATCAACAGCAGACAATAAGAACTGGTGCAAAGGCCAAGATTTTCAACAGTAACTAGTGACCGTCAGGATGTGTGTCTATGCTGAGTCCCCTGTGTTCATTCTGCAGTTTCCATGCGAGTCCTACCCGCCTGCTCCCAAAGATACAGGCCAACCCCAGTCCCAAGCATGTGGGACACAGACCTCTCAAGAACAGCCAGAGCGGCCTCATCACTCTGGGTTTGGTTCACATGAGACGGTGGGGGTCAGGGCATGCTTGTGAGGGGTGGCCCCACAGCACTCGGGAATCACTGCAGGCATAACCTTAGGGTCTGAATATCGATCCTGTCCATGAAGCCAGTAAGTCAGTCGGCTACAGGCAGCCACACTGCCCCCTGCTCTGCTGTGAGCATGTGAGGGTTGTGGGGGTCTGAGGAAGGGAGAGGAGGAGAAGAGGAAAACCTGCCTCTGCCAAAGGGGAATGGATGAAAGTGGCAGGAGATGAAGGTTACCTGGTAAGAGGGACTTGAGAGCAACCTGTGCCATCATCCTTTAGCAAGCAGCTGCCAACATACCTTAAGCACCAGTTAAACCCCTCCAACTTCTCCTCCAGTGAGCACACCAGCCCAGATGTGCAGCAAGCAATCTGAGCCCGCGACTTTGAGACTCAGTGCTGAATTTGGCTTGTTCGGGGCCCTGGTGCCAAAGTGCACACTAAAGAAAGGTGGGCCTGGCCTCCCCCCAGGCCCACCACTCACCCGCTGATGATCTCTTTGTTCTCGGCTCGGATGAAGTGTTCCTTCTCAGGGGTCAGGATGCACAGAGAGAACTTCTGCCCTGTCCGGCTCTCCCCATCCACAACATCTGTGCACTGGTTCATGTTGATGGTGCCCTGGGGGAGGGTTGTGGGCTGGAAGAGAGAGGAGAGATGTGTTAAGGGGAGCAGAGAAGCTGAGCATGGAGCCAGGCACCCCAACTGGTACCACAAAACCCTGCTCTCAACAAACCTGTCCACTCACAAGGCCCCCAGGGAGCCCAGCCGACCACCCCAGTCACAGTTTTGCCACTTCCCTCTTGGGGCTGGCTCTAGCCATCCCATCCTGCTACTCTTCAGCCATGTAAAGTTTCAGTCACGCTGTCCCCTTGGAAGCTTTCGAGTCATGGAAATTCATAGATCTGACCCCTTTCTGTCCCAACTCCTACCAGAGACAGAGACAGCACTTCCTCTGCATGATCAGGACAAATTCTGCACCCTCGCAGGGTTCGTGGGGGCCTTGCAAGAGCCCACCAGCACTTCTGTGCTTAGATACAATACCAGCTCTCAGACAGTCAAACTTCTACTCACTGTTCCACTTTGTTCTAAGTATATTACTCTTCCGCAAGGCCCAAGCTGGCCTGTCACAGCCTCCCCCTACCCAGAAACCTCCTGCAGCTGGTTTGGGGTTTGACGGTGCTCTCCTCTGCCTCTTCCAGGCCTTCTAGCATGACTCCCTCTTGAGCTGCCCCACTAGACTGAGCTGCCTATGACAATGCTGGGGACAGGTAGCTGCCACAAGCAGGCGTTCCCAGCTCAGCACATGCTAGACATACTGGAACACGGTCCGAGGGCTACAGTCACCATGCTCAGCACTAGCAGCTCTCAGCAAGACCTCTGAGGGAAGAGAACCAGGTTCTAGTCTGGTTTATTTTGCAAGAACCAACACTGAGAGACCTGGGTCCTAATGTTTACTGTGCAGTACCAGCAGTGCCACCCCTGCACTCTCACCTTCTCCCTCAACTGGAACAAAGTCCAGCTGGAGTCCAAGGCTCCAGCTTTCAAAAGGGCCTATGTGTTTTGGGTGCATCAGCTCACGACCCTCAAGTTTAGCAGGTGGCCACTTGGCACTCTCTCCAGAGGAGCAGGCAGATGCCAAAGCACCCAGAAACCACCAGGCCTGGGTACAAAGCTTCTACATGATTCATTAACACCTCGGCCCTGTCTGGCCTTAAGACCTACAAATGTCACCACCCTTAGCACCCCCAGGCATGGGACAGGTTTCCATAGCAGAGGTAACGTGGGTCCCAGTAGCTAAGACCACTCGAGCAGTTGCGTCCACAGTGGCTCCGCGCTTGCTCGTGTGCAGCACTAAGACATCAGGGCAGGGAACACCAACCACAGGGCAGCCCCAGAGCTGCGTGCTATGAAAACGAGAGCCTCCTTGTCAGAGGCCTGGGAAAGCAGCGGTGCCTTCCCGCAGACCCAGGCAGCCAGCTTGCTCGGCTCCAGCCCTGCTGGAACGCTGCTGTTTATCTTTGGTTTGCGGCAGCGTCTATGACTGGCAAGGCGTGATTCCCAAGCCATCCCTGCCTGGGGGAGCCTGCATAGCCAGCATGGAGCACTGATCCCTGCGCAAACACAGGCCAAGGCTTCAGTGCCTTTAATGCCCCTGGTGGCCCCCTAATTCCACCCCATCCAATCGTCCCTTCACTTGCAGGACGGGCTTTCTGCTCTTACACGTCATCCAAAGCAGCTTGCCCCACTTCCCCAGATCCAGGCAGCAGACAAAAGCCAGAACCTTTCCAGAGGCAACTGGCAGGATTCCCCAGCCCATCAGACCCAGAGCAGGGAGAAGCAAGAGATTAGCTCGCTGTTCCCTGCCCTGGAGGGAAGACGCTCCTGCTTTGCCTTTACAGCCAGGGCTGTGCTCCCACGTGTTCCCTTCCAGGTCACAAACAGAGCATGGTGATGACTGTCTCTGCCTGGAGGGGTCTCCTTTCTGCTGACAGGAGCAGAGGTCTGCCATCTTCAAATGCCTGGAGGAGGCTTGAGTTTGGCATGCCCAGGAGGGAACATCTGAAAACATACAGGGAGGGTGCAGTGGACCCACGCCGCTTCCGCACTTCAGCTGCAGGACAGGTAGAGATGCCAGCACTGCCCAGAGCCCTTGCAGTCTCTCCCTGATGGGGAATGGCCACAAAACTGAGGCAACAAGGAAGGGGGTGACGGGCTCTGTCACAGGTGGGGCTCAGGTCTCCTGGCACAAGTCAGAGAGGGTCCAAAAAGGGACAGCAGGAAAAGGAGGTGCAGGATGGAGATGAAGAGCAAAGGGAGGTTGCAAGGAGTCAGAAGAGGGAGCAGAAAGGAAGCGAGGCAGGCAGCGGCTGGGGAAGAGGTGTTAGCATTGACTGGAGCTGACAGGTCCATCTGGAGCAGCCCTCCCTTCTCATCCGATTAGAGCGACTCTTCCAACACGGCCCCCCCGCAGCTCCCCTCTCCCATCACCATCACCAGCTGCCTCAGCTGGCAGCAGCCTCCCACGCAGAGCCCTTTAAAGCCTGACTTCCTTGACTCCCCAAATAGCACAAGCTGGAAGCTCACCAGCCTTGGCTCAGCCCACTTGCAGCTGCCTACACCCTGGACCCTCCCCACCTCCGGACACAGGGTCTGGGGCACCAAGGAGCGAGTGCTCCACTGCTGGGCTGCTCTCAGGACTTCTGCCTTTAGGCTCAGGGTTTGCCCGCTCCCCTCAGACACCACTTCAGACCACAACCACGAAGTGGTGAACGGAAGGGACCGACAAGCTTCAAGTGCTCTGAAGTGGAAGAGAGGGCATGGAGAAAGCATCCAAGAGCCGCCCCACTGGCGCTTCCTCCTCCTGGCACTCCTGCCTTCCCCCTGCAGATGGCGAGGCCAGCAAGGAGGATTATTTTTGGCAAGTGCTGCAGAGTGCTTTGCCATGGAAACCAGCTCGGTTGCCAGCAAAATACCTTCAGGAGCAGCCGATCCTTTTTATGTAACAGGAAGAAAAAGAAAGGCAGCACAGTCCAGTAGTTTGCACATGGCGGTGGGAAGCAGGAGTCCCAGAGCTGGCTCTGATTCTGCTACTAAGATCCTGGGCAAATCACTTAACCCTGCTCTGCCTCAGTTTGCCTGTCTGTGCCGCACAGAAAATATTTTTCCTGCTGCACAGCAATGCTGAGACTTAATTGTGTTAATTACCATAGTGCTTGGGGACTAATCAAGTACAGTGTTGCACTGTACAGAGTAAAATGGTCCTTGGGCCACTTACAATCTAGCAAGCAAAACTGCCAGAGAAGAGGAGAAAAAAACCACATGGACAAGACTTCAGCCAAGATCAGACAACCAGTGATTTGGGGTGTGTCAACACCGAGGTGCCCACACGGGCACCTGAAAGAGGTCTGACATCTAGAGGTGGACTGTCTGCTCTCTGAAATCAGGTCCCTCTCCCAAAAAGCAGACACACCTAAGTATCCTGAGGCTCCTTTGAAAACCACAGCCTTTGTCTGCAGAGCGTTTTGAGATCTGGTTAAGACATGGACACTGTTTCTGAAAATGCAGCCCGAAGTTTTCCCTCCGTGCCATGAGGAGTCTATTCAGAAGAGGGCTTTTCTCCGTCTTATACAGCAATAAAGATAAAACTCTGTTTTCTGGTAGCTATAAAAATCCTAGGGAAAAGCCTCCTCCAGCTCCCACTGGAGTTCCAGAAACCTCTTCTCCTTGCTTCGCTTCAGAGGAACAAGCATTTCCAGAACCAGGAGGTTGCACTGGATTGTTGTGTGGGTTCGAGTCTGCTCCCCACCCTCACCATTCCTCTGCCAGGGATAAGAGCCCAGCCAACCTGCAGGACAGGAGGAGACTTATCCACGAGGATTTTAGTTATTTACCAACACAAAGGGCACGCCTGGCCACTGACTCACTCATTCTTTTGCTATCTGTATCCTAAAACTTCCTGGCAGGGGTTTCAGGTGTGAAATAAGGGACTTGGAACACTCCCCCGAAGAAGTTAGGGCAGGACAAGGCAGCTCCTCACAAATCCTATCCCTGGTCCTCCCTTGGCAGAATTCACAATATTTACCAACTGTGTTGCACAAATACCCAAGCTGACTAGAGCAAGCACTCAGTGCTGCAGCAGAGCAAAGGCGGTACCCACATCTTCCATCACCCCTGGTGGTATCTGATCTCAGCGACAGCACAGACAGCAGGGTGCATGAAAGGATTTCCTCCCTCCCCCAACCTTGCACTGGTGAAAGTGCATCCTGCTTAATTCAGGAGCAGACTAGAGACACCTGCTTGCCATCAGACACCTGTGAGCTAAATAGAATGATTCAACTTTTATCCAAGCCTACTTTGCATAAAATGAACTTTTCTACCCAGTTCTCCTGTGCAATATGAAGTTTCATGTCTACCTGGGAGAAATGTTACAATCATTGTATTTTTCTTTTGCCTAAGGAAGGGTGTGAGAGCCCAAAAGCTTGCAAATAATTTCTTTATTTGCAATTATCTAGTTTATCTAATTAAAGACATTGCCACTACCACAAGATTTCTGACTAGACTCCCTGTCTATGCTACAGCTATGCATCATTACCAACACTTTACTATGGACAAGGCCAGAGTAGAGAGCACAGACCTGGTTTGCTCGGTGGATTTGCTAGCGAAAGTTTTCAGTGCTGACTCTGCACCTTTTCTGCTAATCCCAATGCAACCACACAGCCACCAAACCTGCCCCAGACACCCCTCAAACAGCATGCTTGGAGCAGACGAGCAAAGGCGTGGGAGCAGAGGGAAATAGGCCAGGCCTGAGCTGGGGTGCCACCACCCTGCCTGGGCTGCAGCATCACGCAATTAACTGGGACCCAGTAAACAAGGCTGTGAGATGAGGAATGCGGGGCCCAGCCAAGAAAAGGCAGGGGAGGACCTGGCCAGGCAACAGGCTTCCTGTAACAAGGTGTGGTCAAGGTATACACCTCGCCTCGTGGGATGCCCAGTCAGGGAGGGAACAGGAATCAGAAGTCTCCCCGGGGCAAAGAGCTCTTCAAAATAGCAGCCTTGCCAGCAGGGCTAAGTGGAAGGAGCAAACACCCCATAGTCAGTCACCGATCCTGAAAGATGCCTATGCCCTGCAGTGGACA